TGCCCTAAACTGCAACTAAGCAGAAGGAAGAAGCTGAGAGAGAAAGAGAGGCCGGGAGAAAGAAAAGGAGGTGGAGGAAGATAATGTTTCTTGATCTTTTGGCTAGCAGGGAGGGAGGGAGGGAGGGAAAGCAGGATGCGGTGGAGCGTTCCAGGAACAATATTGAAGCACCGGGTTTATTAAAGGATAAAGGGGTGGGTGGGAGAAGAGAGTGAATTTGTGCAAACAGGGATGGGAATAAAAGCGTGCTTGTGTGTTGGAGCCTGTTTCAAAGAGACTGGATCTTAAGGCCCGTTAAAAACACAGTGTGGCACCAGATCATCATTGTCATCATCATTATCATCATCTTGGAACTGCAAAGCTGCTGGAAGGGGCCCCAGAGACCATCCAGTCCAGCCCCTGCCAAGGAGGCCCAGTGGGGGATTCGAACTCCCAACCTCTGGCTCCTCTGCCCGATCTCTAAGCCACTGAGTGATCCGGCAGTGCAGGACATCCTCTTGCCCAAGAGTAAAGTCCAGAGAGAGCGAGAGGGGTTGTCTAGCCTTCCTCCTGAGCCCATCCCCAACCCCTCCCCCCCCAAAAAACCCCCCTGATATCAAACCCTTTGGTGTTCCTTTTTGGGCACACCTGAGATCCACCCGGGGGGTGCAGGGATAGAAGACAAAGTGATCCCAGGGCCTGACACCAGCGTCATGTTGGATCGAGCCCACATTTAGCAGCTATGTCTTATTGGTTTTGTTGTTTACACTTGTGATGCCGGGAGGTCTGATTTTTATTGAAAGATTAAGAGCAGAGGGAGGAGAGTTAACATTTTTCCTCTCTCAGCTGTGATTTTACTGGTACTCGCCCCCCCCACCCCAGCACTGCTTATAGGTCTGGGGGAAGAATGCCAGTTGTTAATTCCAAAGTGCGCCCCCCCCCACCAGCATTTATCTGTGGATGGCTGGGCCTTAGGAGAATTAAAGGTGGAGAAGGAAATGTTTTCCCAGGGTGGCAATTCTTAGTCAACATCAGAGCTCCTTGAGAGAGTAAAAATGGGTGAAACACGTTGGTGGGGGTGGAGGAGGAGGATGTGAATTGTAGCCTGACGGTATCGGCCCATGATTAGATCAACGACGAGTTGAATAACAGAAGGTTGAGTCTGTATACCCAGAGTTCCTGTTTCATGCAAAGCCTTCGCAGGCTGCAATCCGTGGACAGTTGCTCTGCCTCTTCTGAATGCAACATCTTACCCAGCCTTAACTGGTTTCTTGTCTCTGATCATCCACCCCCGATCAGAGATAAGAACGTTAGGAACGTTGAGGGCCAGATGTGGAGCCTTCCTGGGTCTGATGAGTCCATCCAGAGTGAATTGCCTCTTGTCCCAAACAACAGTGCTTTATTTATTTATTTATT